AACCTCTTGAAAATTAAAAAAAAAAAAAAAAAAAATCCTGACAGACCTAACCATTTGGGACCACTGCAATTCTGTAATTTCCACAGTCATGTTCCAAACTTTACATCTTCCTAAACAAACCGAAAGGAATGCAGCAGATACTATTTTAATGACAACAAAATGCTGCAAAGTATATTAAAAAAATAAACAAACCAACCAGATTTTCTGCAGGTTACAGATCAAATTTTGCTTTCACAAAAGGAAAGAAACCAAGTCAAATATTCATTCACCTACTTGGTGAGTAGAGATTTCATGCTACTTTTTCCAAGTTTCAGTCTCTAAATGACAAATAGGAACAAATACAGTAGAATATGTATTGTAATATAAACCAGAGGTAGAAGGAAATGAGTACGAATCTCTAATCAACACACTAATCAAAGAGTTACTACAATACTTTGGCACACAAAAATCTTAAATATTCAGTTACACACCAGTACAAGTACTACTTATGAGAGTTTGGAAGTAGGATGTATTTGCTTTAGATTTCCATCACTTAACTTCGAAGTTGTACTACTGTGCAATGTAGGATATAGTAAGAATCTCCGATAAAAAAAAGTAAAACCTAAAAATTCTGATTTGAAATAAAGCATACTTTTTTTAAACAGCAATAGCAAATAATAACTGAACCTAGTACTAAGGAGGCATCGCAGTGGGTTTTCTATCACTGGGTTTTTGGCTTGGTTTTGTTTTCAATTTTTTCAAGTTACACACTTGAAAAAAAACCAACACCAAAACCCCAGCAGAACAGCAGCGTTCAACCCTGCCAACGTCACAACCTTTACAAGCACAAGCCAATTCAGCAGCATGTCTATTTCCTCAGGCTGAAACTATAAAAGGCATTACATTTCTCTTCAATGTAAATTCCTCCCCCACCCTCTCTAGCCACTCAACCGTTGGTATACATGGCCCCACTGTGAAATTTATATTTGCATGAAAATTAAAGGAAGGACACACCTGAAATTTCTCTTTTGGAATATTCCTTCGAGCTCCTTTTGCTAGAACAAGGGCTTCTTCCACTCTGTGGCTAGCTAGAAGATCCTGAATCTGTTTTTCCAAAGGTAGTGGCACCAAGATATACACACCCTTATTAGTAGCAACAATCACCTTTCCTGGACAGAGCAAACAGACATATTCAGTTTACACTCTCTACAGAAAAAACACATTTCAGAAATAAGCTTTAAGATTTACTATTTAAGATACAAGAACCTAAACAGTGTTAAAGTTCCAAAACTCATCTTTGTTGTTACCGTATTTACTAGATAGTATAGTTTATCTGTAAATTGCACCTCAGAAATACAGAGATAATGGTAAATTTATTTATTTACAGCAGATTTTGTTCCACTCTGAGTAAATGAAACTGGCTTTAATCTCTCATGATGAACTAAGCTGTAAGTAAAGGCCACCACTATTGCCCAGATTCCAGACAATAGGGACTTTTAACTGCCAGATATTTCCACAGGCTTACATTAGAAAATTGTAAGCTGTACATCAAAGGTAGCAAGTAACATACAGTTCATAGTGCTAGAGTTTGTAGCTCTCCTGGAAAACAATAGCAACGCAATGTATTCCACACTTAAGAGTTCTTAACTGAAGAATAGGTCAAAAGAAATTTTTGTATTTTTTGTTTAACAATTCTTTATGAAATATCCCCTTTTAAACCTCTTACACAGATATTTTAGAAAGGAATACAAAAGAACAATTTTTAAGATGTTAGAACTTTGTTAGAGTAGCCCATGGGCAAATACCTGTAACTCACAATTATTGACTTATAGCATTAAATTAACATTGCTCCTTTGAAAGAAATAATTAAGTTACAAGAAAAAGCTCTAACCCCACAGACTCCTACCCAACAATTAACTCGACAATTAGAGCACATTTAATGAGCACACATTTTGTTAGAAGCGTGGAATTTTGGATGACTCAAGTTTTCCTATCATAGTCTGCAGGAATCTAATCAGGAAAGCATTTGCAATAGAAGTTTCAACAGTTAATGCGCTTGCCAGATATTTTGTTTAAAAAACAAACTGAAGTGACTGTGCCCACAGTGGTGGTTGTTCCAGAATTACTGATGCAAAAAAGTGTCCTTTTTAATACCTTCAAAGTCCTGTAGAATGTGACCTTCTTTAAAAGGCAGCGTTTGCTTTTGCTGCTGGTCCAGCATGCTGTGCACTGTAATGAACTCATCATCGAGAGCAACCACGTAAGGAAAGCACAAAGCTGCTCCAATCACGTTCTCTGACCAGTGCACAGGGGCACGCTGTGAAATGCCGTCTACAGTTGCAAACATGCCTACAAAAAGGGAAAAACAAAGCCTGAGGCTCGTTTTAGTTGAAGACTGTCGTTTTCCCAATACGAAGCATGGGTACCAAGGTACAGAAATAAAAAAGTCTCAGAAGAACAGATGCAGTATCAGGTGGCACGACAACAGCGCATCACACCTCCCTGGACCTTACAGACCTGTTGGTTAGTTCAGTTGAAATTTTTTTTTTTTTTGACCTTACAGACCTGTTGGTTAGTTCAGTTCAAATTTTTTTTTTTTCCTTTCTCTTTCACCACAGAAACAGACAACACCAAAAATGGAAGAGAGCAATACTGAAAGAAACTAGCAAGAATTATTCAAGTTTAGTAAGTTTCAGATTTTTTTTAACAAGAATTACGCCATGTGGTTTGAGTTCATTTCAAAACACTAATATTTAGTGAGACCCAGCATTCAAACAATACTGCCTTAGCAGGAGCCGCAGACCTGCACCACCTGACCTATTTGGCAATACAGGCATATTTGTTCCTCGTAGTGTCAAATGTCTAAAGAGCATTTTAGTTGACAGACAATCATTTACTTGTACTTCTTCTCTTTTGCTACAGCACCATTTTCACAAAATGAGCATCTGGCTCCTTGGGACAAGTCACTTCCTGTGAGGCATCTGTGTTTTCAATCATTTGAAAAAAAAAAATGCAGACGCTGCATATAAAACATATTTTCCCAAAAGCCAAGCACAGAGTAGACTTAATATCCCAATACCTCCTATGCTGTCTTCAAAACAACCATACTAAATCTTCAGTTAATTTGTGTTTTTCTTTACCACTATCTTTCCTCCTGTCTATTCTGTCCTTCTTCCTTCTCCTAGCTTAATAGAAGTTTGACTTGCTTTTGGACCACACGTCACTGGTTCTATTTACGCTACTTGGTATTCCCCAATTCTTCCCGAGACATTAACTGAAGAAAAACTCCAGTCAGTTTTCAGACCTAGTTCAGTAACCCTCTGCCAGCTGAGCCATGCTGAAGCACTATGTAAACTTCTGTTCTAAACATGAATGCATACCCCTTAAAACCAGTATTCTCACGCTATTAAAAAGACACGCCCATGAAAATTGTTCTTCGGCAGCAATGAGCCACTTGACAGCTGGTAGAATAAGTCTGAGCTCTAAAGGACAGAGAAGATAAAAAGATTATGTTACTCAATTTACAAAACCTCTTCCAAACAGAGGATAATGAGGTAAGGGTAGCTGGGTAGGAGGACCATCTTGGGCATAGGGCGGGAAGGAAACCAGAAGGTTGTAGATTTTCACAGAACTATGGTGTAGAGACTAAGCTTCTGGATCCTTTATAGCAGCTTTGAAACGATCAGCCCTTTCGCTTGACTAAGGGTGCAACACAAAATTAAAGTTTCACATCTGACATATTAGCAAGTGATGCTATTTGCTTTTTCACGATAACGATCAGCTTTTCAATCAGAGTGCCTTACAGAAAAGACTTTTTTTTTTTGCCATAATATATAATTCCCAATTTCCTCTATAGATCTTGATATTCTTATGGATCAGAAGTGGAATTTTATGCCAGGCAGACTGCACTATCCATTTTTAATGCCTTCCAGTTGTTACTCTGTTATAATCCCATTTCAAAAAGTAGGAGAAAACTTGAGTTACATACATACTAGCCAGTAGTAAACTCAGGGCTAATTATATTTGAAATACCAATTCTTAGAATTTTCTCTCTCTCTTACACTCTCAAAAAAAAAATTCTAAAAACATGATTTAAAAAACTTTTTCTTTTTTTTTTTTTAGATAACAGAGCTCTTCTTTAGGTAATTTTAAAAAATCCTTTACGGAAGTGAAAGGGTAGGCAGAGCAATGCACAGTACTCTTCCAAGTCAATGGCTCTCTACATCCCTCTGCCCTCAATAGCTAGGGCTTCTGTGGTAGAATGATGCATTTTCTGTCTTCATCCAGCTCTCACCTAAGGATAACAATAAACAAGACAACTACAATCAGAACCTGTGGCCTTTTTATAGTACAGGAATGCGCTTGATGAAACTGAGATGAAGCCAGTAATCAATTCTGTATTAAAAATGCATACGCTATCTAAAGGTTACAAGAGTTACCCAAAACACAGCCACACTGTTTTCAGCACCAAGAGATCTCGAAATTTATAGAATCATAGAATAATTTAAGTCAGAAGGGGTTTCTGAAGGACATCCAGTCCAGCCCCCCCCCACTCAAAGCGGGACCAACTTAGATCAGGTTACTCAGGACTTTGTGCAACAGACTGCAGATTTTGTTTACTTGTTTGTTTTAAAACAAAAAACTTCTTAGTGAAAATATCTGTAAAATTGAAAAAAAACTTTATTACTTGTTTGAAAAGGAATATGAAAACTTTCAGTTATCATAAAAGTTGACAGCATGAGAAACACTACGAGTGGGTGAGAACAAGGGAACATGCTGGTTACTGTTGACTACTCTGCTCTATGCAGCGTCACCAGCTATGAGAAAAGGCACCACATAACCTTCTATGAATCATTCTGCTTAGTACCTGTGTGCTTGTTACAAGGTAACAAGCTCAGTTCTCCAACTCCATTTGTAGTCTACTCAATCACTATACAACTGTTCAAACCATGCACCACTGAGAAGAGTTTATTCTGGAAAAGCAAAAGGAATAAACTAAAATTAGGTATTTAAAATTTGTATTTTTTCACTCATTAAAGTCATGGAGTAGTTGAAGCAGGAAGGGACCTCCGCAGACTGTCTAATCCGATTTCCCTGCTCAGAGTAGGGTGAACCAGAACAGGTTGCTCAAGACCTCACCCAGTCAGGTTTTGGGTATCTTTAAGAACAGAGACTCCACATCCTCTCCAAGACCTGTTTCCTGGTTTGAGCACCATCACAATCAGGACTTTGTTTTCTTATGTTTACATAGAATTTCCTGTATTTCAGTTTGTACCGACTGCCTCTTATCCTTTCACTGAATACACCACCAATGAGCAGTCTGGCTTTGTCTTCTTTATCCTCCCCGTACCTGTTGATAAGATCTCTGTAAGCATTTTCTTCTTCAGACTGAACAGTCCCAGTGTTCTCCGCCTCTCCACATATGAGGTGCTCCAATCACTTAGTTGTCTTTCTGGTCCTTCAGTGGATTTACTCCAGTATGTCCATGCCATTCAGGGAGCCCAGAACTGGACCCAGCACTCCCAATGTGGTCTCACTAGGACTGAGGGGAAAAATTGCCTCTCAACCTGCTGGCAGCACTTTTCCTAATACAATCATTTACGTTGGAAAAGACCCTTAAGATCATCAAACCCAACTGTTAACCTAACACTACCAAGTCCACCACTAAATGCCACCCAGTAGGCTGTCGGACTTCTTTGCCACAAAGGTACATTGTTGGCTCATGGTCACTTTGCCCACCAGAGCCCCCAGGTCCCCCTCTGCAAAGCTGCTTTCCAGCCAGTCAGCCCCCAGCCTGTACTGGTGCACGGGGCTGTCCCTCCCTAGGTGCAGGACTTGACATTTCCCTTTGCTGAACTTCATGAGGTTCCTGTCAGCTCATTTCTCCAGCCTGTCAAGGTCCCTCCAAATGGCAACACAAACCCCTAGTGTATCAGCCACTCCTCCCACTTTTGTATCATCTGCAAACTTGCTGAAGGTGCACTCTGCCCCACCATCCATGTTGTTAATGAAGATGTTAGTATTGACCTCGCTATCGGCCCCCAGGGCACACGACTAGTGACTGGCCTCCAGCTGGACTTTGTGCTGCTGACTACAAACCTTTGAGCCAGGCTTTCAATTCACCTCACTGTTTCTCTAGTTCATTCTTCATCTGTTTGTCTATAAGGATGTTAGGAGATATACTGCCAAAAGCCTTGCTGAAGTTCGCAGTATCACTGCTCTCCCCTCATCCACCAAGCTAGGCATCTAATCATAGAAGACTGTCAGGCTGGTCAGGCAATTTCCCTTTTGTAAATCCATGTTGATTACTCCAAATCACATTCTTGTCCTTCGTATATTCAGAAATAGCTTCCAGGATTTTCTCCATCACCTTTCTGGGGATCAAGATAAGGCTGGCCAGCCTTTAGTTCCCTAGATCCTTTCTCTTGCTCATCTAAGACAGGAGTGAAGACATTTGTTTTCTTCCAGTCCTGAGGAACATCCTCTGATCATTGTGACCTTTCAAAGATAATCAAGAGTGGCATCACAATGACACTGACCACCACCCTCAAGCATTCATGGGTGCATCCCCATCAGGTCCCATGGATTTGTCTGTCCAGTTTATTTAAATGTTCCATAACCCAATCCTTCTCTACTGAGGGCAGGTTTTTGTTGCTCCAGATTTTCCCACTGGTCCTAGGGGCTGAGGATTCCTAAAGGAAGGTCACACAGGTAACGTTTGAGGTAAGGAAGGCATTAAGCACCTCAGCCTTTTCCATGTCCTTTGGCACCAGGTTCCCTGCCCCATTCAGCAGTGGGCATCCATTAGCCTTCCTTTGCTGCTGCTATGCTTGTAGAGGCTCTTTTTGTTGCCCTTCATGGTGCACAGCAGAGTCAATGCCAGATGGACTTTGGCCTCCCTAACCCTATCCCCACATGCTTCAACAGCATCTCTATATTCCTTCCAGGTCACCTGGCCCCACTTTCACCTCATTTGCTTCCTTTTTTGTATTTGAGTTTAGTCAGGAGCTGCTTGTTCATTAATGCAGTCCTCCTGCCACCTTTGCTTGTTTTCCTGCTCATTGGGATGGACCACTCTTGAACTTGGAGGAGGCAGTCCTCTGCTCCAGGACCATATCCCATGGGATTCTTTTAAGCAGGACCCCGAACAAACCAAAGTCTGCTGTCCAGGCTTGTGGTCTTTTTGCCTTGTTCCCTTTTCTCGGGATCCTGAACTTCACCATCTCATGGACACTGCAGCAAGGCTGCTCCCCTGACATTCATATCGCTAACCAGGTTTAACAGAGCACATCCCCTCATCAGCTCCTCAGTTACCTGGGTCAAGAAGTTAACACCAACGCACTCCAGAAATCTTCTCAACTGCTTGTGCCCTGCTGTGCTGCCCCTCTAGCAGGTTCAAGTGTCCCCTAAGAACCAGGGCCTGCAAATGAAGTTTTCTTCCAGTTATCTGAAGAAGGCCTTACCTACATCTTCTTCCTGATAAGGTGGTCTGTAGTAGACATTCACAATGTCCCCATGTTAGTCTGCCCTCTAACCCTAATCCATAAAATCTCAGCTGCCTCCTCCTTCGTCCCAAGGCACAACACCATACCTTCCTGCTGCTCTCATGTAATGGGTAACCCTCACCTCAGCTGTTGACACTGTTAAATCAGCTGTGCTGATTTCCCAGAAAAAGCGAGAGCGCTTTCACCATCATGTTGTTTTGTACACACTTCTTTGTGTGCACATGCCTGAAGCAGGGCCTCTTCAGCCCTGTTTGTTGATTACAAAGTCTCATCCACATCATCCTGCACTCATTGTTTGCCAACTCAGCCTACAACCACCATTCCTAGTTTAAATCCTCTTCACCAGGCTGGTCAGCCTGTTCACAAAAACACTTTTGCCTCACTTGGCCTGGTGGATCCCATCTCTTCCTTAAATAGGTATCCATAGTCACAAAAGCCAAATCCCTCCTCACCAGCAGGTCTGATGAGAAACCCTCCATCTCCAATATGAGGGAATGTCCCACTACTATTACCCGCTAATTCCTCCTGGTGCTACTGCATTGTACAGGCTCAGATGATTTGTTGGACAGAGCTTCCCGCTTCTCATCTGCTACCAGAGCACTGAACATATTCTATAGATGCAAATCTGCAGGCTGAGAAGGAGAGTTCTTCCTTTTACGATAAGTCACAAGTTTCCAGCCTTTGCCATCACAGAACAAGCAGAGACTCAGCCTGCCCTTCCCCCAGTACAGTTGGGGGTTTAGGCTCATGCCTGGGTCCTGGAGAAAATTCAGTTTCCTTTTGGTCCTCTCTGATGCCGTGCACTCTGCTGACCTCCTCCTGCATCTCCTTTACTTGGCAACACAAATCGTCAACCAAGCACACAACTCCTGCAGGCAAGGACAAAATTTCCCCCTGCCCGAGTCTTAGCAAGAGACACCAGGCGCTTCCTTCAGCTCAAGACCTGAAGAGCTGCACCCTCCCTTTGGAGCTCGGTCTGAGACAAAGCCTCTGATGTTTTGGGGTAGTTGCTCCAGCTGGTGCTAAGAAGCATGCCCTGTGCAATATGCAAGAACTGTTTGCTGAAATTTTAAAAACTTAAAAGCCTCTGTATGGCAGGAAATCTGATTAGAAACATGCAACAAGAGCTTCGTGAAATGAAAAAATGAATTTTGGTAAGCATAGTTTCATACATAATCAGAAAGAAGTGATTTTCAATTCTGAATGAACTAATTACTGGACAGAATGAAGATGCATCAAAAATGAAGTTCCTCCTCCCTTTGAAAGAATGAGCTATATACTAACTGCAAGTAGAGCCAACAAACTACTGAACGGCTAAGTCTATGGATCAACTATGAACAATTCTAACAATCAGTTTTAAATGCAGAGTCCAGGTAAGGAAAAAGGTTACATACCCAAGAAACTCAAATTGTTTTACTTTATGATTATCATTTTAAGCAGTTGCTTTCTGCCATTCTAAATTCCAGTCTTAACTCAAAAGCAAATTAATCTAGATAAATGTCACTTCAGACACCATAAAGCCGAATATATTAATGCAGAATAGATCCACCTCAGTAAAAAAGGCTGAATTTAGTATAGATGCTCTACCAAATGCCAAATGAACGTCTTAACCAATAAGACATACAAAAGCAAACCAAAACTAGAATTGAAAATTTACATCAAGCTTTTTCAAGTCCATTCACTTTACAGCAGAGGCCTACCTCAAATGCCAAGATATACAATGCTTATGTATTATAAAGGGGCTCAACCATCTTCACAACTTCAGAGACAAGTGTTAAAGACACTAAGAATTTTACCAAGGAAGAACAGAAAGATGGATAATACTAAACAAAACAACAGCGGGGAGGGAATAGAGAACAGATGATTAAAAAACCCAAACAAACCCACAAGCTGAATTAGGCAAGGAAAAGATATACAATCCATAGCAAGCAGTCTTTGTAAGGTTTCTGAGCTAGTAGAAGGTAGACTTTGCCTGTATTATGGGAAAAAGGGAGGTTGATAGCATGTTTAGAGCTGCAGAAGGGCATTTGCTTAAGATATCACATATCTGGCAATTTTAACCCCAGGACAATCTACTTACACAAGGATGTTGGATTTTATGAGTAAAGGTCTTACAGTATAGCCCTCTTCCAGGTCACCAGATAAAAGCAAAAGTTGGACTAAATAAAATTCTGCTTTCTGACTAGATACAATTATGCTTTTGAAAACGTATCTATTCTTAATCAAAAAAGAAATGAACCAGTTGAACAGAATCTGGTTTGTCATTCCTAAAAAGATAAAGATTAAAGTAAGAATGGTATCTCCTTCAAAACGTGTCAAAAGGGAATACTTTCAGACAGTCAATTCACAAATGTTAACTGTCATAGCGCTACTAAAACAGTTAATGTCCACAAATGCATGTCCACATTTCAAGTAACTAAGAGTTTTAATAAGAAGTGGGCAACCAAGATGATTTAGAAAAGCCCTACGTCTGAAAAAACAAGTTCATCTTGGAACATCTTTAATTTGCATAAACTGATATTCTAATGAGTCTCTACTTCTTTGAAGAAAAACTGGTGAGTTGATGTACATCTCACATTCTGATCACAAGACAAAACTTAAATATAAACAACTGATTGCACTCTTGTTTTTCTTTAGAATTTATATTAAAAAAACAAAAAACATGCAGATCCCTGAATTAAGGACCTAAATAGTTGTGATCTTTGCGTCATGCTATTCCTAATGTGTCAGGGAAGATAAATAAACTGCATCTCCTAAATGGAGAGTCATATGGCAAACAGCATGAAAGCATTCTGCCTGTGGTCCGTCAGCTCTGGGATATTGCAGCTTTTCCAAAAAAAGCTCAAGACTACTGACCTCACAGCATATTGTTGATTTAGACAGATTACAACAACAATCCTTACAATCATCTGTCTATTAGACAAAAGCATTATTTCACATGATTTAACTTTGGTTTTGCAATACTTAAACTATCATTTTCTGTAACATGGAGCTGAAAAATACTATTAAAAAAATTAAGCAAATGGGAGCATAAAAATTGTGTAGTATCTGACAACATCTACAGTTCGGACAGAGTTTACTTGTACAAGAGTTAGGATACAGTTTACTTCCACTAACATTTCTTACTAGCACTGTAGTACAACATAGCTATTTGTGAATCTGCTACAATCTATAAAATGAACTTTGTATGAACTCCTCTGAATAGCAACTGAGAAAAAAATTAACTCATCTACACTAATTAAATTAATTAATTTACACTAAATTTATAGCAACATGGGGCTCCTCAAACCCAGTCTGGCTAGTCACTACAGAGAGCCTATCAGCCTCTCAAGTTTCACTTGGTACCAACCAATTTTTTTACTCTGGGCTGCAAGATACTACTACTGTTAGCTGTCTATACAGAAATGAAGCTTTCTACAGACATGACTAAAATACAAATAATCAGATTTTTGTGCATTAAAAAAAGCAGGAGAGTTATAATAATACTTAGTACAAAAAAATTTACCATCTACCTTTTTATCTCAACATTCCAGTGTAACCCTGTGAAGAAAATTGTCATTATTGTGCACCGCACTTGATTAGTTAAGCTTTGCTCTATACAGAAATGAAGCTTTCTACAGACATGACTAAAATACAAATAATCAGATTTTTGTGCATTAAAAAAAGCAGGAGAGTTATAATAATACTTAGTACAAAAAAATTTACCATCTACCTTTTTATCTCAACATTCCAGTGTAACCCTGTGAAGAAAATTGTCATTATTGTGCACCGCACTTAATTAGTTAAGCTTTGTTTCCCAAATTGAGAGAAATTAAGAGAGAGAAGTTAAAAAAACTGCAAAAAAAATTACAATCCTTAGTCTCACCTAGGCCTCCGGGGCCAGCCAACAGAAACTCTTGTCTGCCTATCCTTTTCACAATTGGCCGTTTCTCATCACTGCAATAAGGAAATAGATCCTGGGAGACGCCAGTATTATAATTCAAAATGATATACTGTGTAGTAAGTGCAAGACATAGGTAATAACCATCTACAGCCACAGCACAGGGTTGCTCTGGAGTAAACACTTCCTTCACTATCTGGACTCTGTCTTCAAACACCATGAACATTTGAATGGTCCGCCGCTTGACCGAGATAATGCAGACTTCCACACAGAAAGGATCCCCACTCACGGGGTTTTCATTTAATGCGAATGTCACAGCTCCTTTGATTCTAGCACCAGTGGGGACAGGTTCCAAGTTCATCATGTTAACTAGTGTTATTGTGTTGTCACAAAGCACAAGAAGCCTGGTGAGGGCAGAGGCTGCTTTCAACTCACTCACAGGCTTCTTCAAGCCCAGGTATTTATGCAGTTGCTTGGTGGCAGCAAAAGTTATTTTTCCAGCTGTTGAGATCTTTTCATCCAACAGAAAGTGATAGATAAAGCAGTCATTGGTTCCAATATAGAGGTTCTTTCCGCAACACTCAATGCATTCGATGTTGATGTAATTTTTGTCTCCCATTAACATCTCCCGCTCAACAGCAGAAACGAGCTTGAAAGCTTTAACACTCATTGTGTCTTCTGGGTGATCTGATTAAAGAGAAAAAAAAAAACCACACCACTATTTACCTCCACACACATAATCAAATCTCAGAGGTAGCAATTTAACATTCACCAATACAAAAACTTCATTGTTGCATTTTTTTAATAGTCTATACTCTATTTTCAACCTGATTACACAAGCCAGAATGAGCACATTAATAACCACAGGTTTATATCACCTGCACATGAAAAGATACAAGCTTCGGCTCTCGGATTTCTAGAGAAGCCACAAGGCGTTTAGTGCTACAAGTTAACATCTCATGTTGCTTTACACTCAATTTAGGCCTATTAGTACATAGTCTCTTAGCAAAATATCATAGACATACTCCATTTTAACACATACTTTACATTCCTTACTCTCCAGCAATCAGAAATACATAACTTTCAAGCCACTTAAATAATAATTTACACAAGGTATCATCCAACTCCTAACAAAAGTTGTTGGCTTGTGGCTTTTTTTTTTAGTATCTGCAGAGTATTTGTTTTATTCAGTGCTACTTACACATTCTCTGTATTGGACTATACGCACCAGCAATTATAAAGCACAGTCACACAGCAAATTTGGAAGCATGGTCCATAAAGCATTCGTTAAGCTCAAGATGCAATATCATGGAAATCAGAAGAGTTTCTGTTCTCTACCATCACAACCTTTCCAAAAGTCTGTCTTTAAGTGCTAAGCAGCACTTCTAATATTCATTCTACAAACTATACCTACCATTCTGCAATCAAGCACTGCCAAGGGACAGATGCAATTTATGAAGCAATTATTAGTGTTTTAAAAACAGTCCGCCTAATTTTACTGTAGTCCAGACTTGTGTTATTTTTGTAAGAAACCAGACAGCTGTGCTCAACACTCCAAAGAAGAGCAGATGAGAAATTGCTTGTTTAATCACCTTTTAATTTGTCATGACTGGTCTGTAATGACAACTTAGCCCACACAGGGGAAGACACAACACTGAACATCTTGAATGGATTTAAGAAATAACATATACAATTGCTTCTAGTCCACATGTACAATGGAGGCATAAAACATCAAATGAAGTTTCTGTGGGCCAACACAGAAACCGACATCAACAAGATGCTCTTGTGAACAAACCCAAACCCAAACATAGTCAAAATGAATTTAGTTTCAAATTATTATATCTAAAAAAACCCCTTTGCTTTTGCAAGAGAACACTGAAAACCGTGGCAAAAATTTCCAAAACTGAGTGAGAAAAGGTAAGGTACACAATGCACAAGTAACCACTAAATAAAATTAGATCAAACTAAGAACATAGCCAGAAGCAAATCATATTACAAAGAGATAGTAGTGATCTTTTTTGCCAAGAACTTCCTAATTTTTTTCAGAAGTTAGAGATTTTAGTTTGGGCTTCCATGACATTTTCAAATTGCATCTTTACCTGGGATGTAAATTAGTGTTCTGGCCTTCAACAAAAAAACCCAAACCCAGGAAGTACTAGAGAAACAGCCTAAGGTGAAATGATAATGCAAGTCTCTGGCAACACAGCCATGTTATCCTCCAACGTTATCAAAAGAAACACAGCACATTAACTTAAAAAGGGCCGCCCAAAGGTTGACTGCCAAAAAAACTCCAACCATTTTTGAGTGCCTGTGTGTAGCCTGAAGTAATAAACTACCGTCTGGAGAAGTTAGGCAGCTTTTTTTACTGGAAGCTGCCAACAACTTAACGTTCCTGTAGACCAACGTAAAAACGTTAATGTATACCATTGGGAGAACTACAGAATTTTGCTCTCCATCAAGATGTATCAAAAACCTCCAAAAAAACTTACTAAATGAAAGCAGATGAAAAATAAAAGTATAAAAGAAATCAAAATAGATACACAATCCCTGAGCAGAAAGAACAAAAAATAACGTAGTACTACATAAGTCTGGTAGCAAAGAAATTAAAACACTCATGCTAGAAAAAAGCTGTGAAAAAAGCTTTTAAGAACAATCAACGTGAACACGCATAATCTGCATGTAATTTTTTTTTTTAACATTTATTTTGTTCTCATTTATAAGAGCTTAGGGGCCTACGCGCACCGCAAAGACACAGGTTCCGCAGAACATGCTGTCCCTTTAAAGTGCAAGAGGCCACCCCCGAGTTACAAATGGAAGTCAGCATGCTACTTTTTAGATGTTCAGAACTCCGGAAAACAAGATAACGGGGATGTTTGCGGTCAAAAAATAATCAATAGGCTGGCAAATTATCAGCCTACTAAATCTTACTCTCCTAAAGGCACTAATAACCCCGCGTGCACTCATCTCCGGTAAGGAGTGGAAAGCAGCTCTCCCCCACCTTTGCGAGGCAATACCCTGCTCTGCATTTACCTCTCGCCTGCTGCTGCCCCGCAGGCCAGCCCCCTGCCTACCTCACCTCCGCACCGCTCGCTCACGTAGACGCACTCCCACACCCTGCGCGATGAACTGCGTGCAAGCCCTAATTAACCTGTCGGTACGATTCCACAGACCCGAGGTGCCGGCCCACTCCAGCGCCAGAGCTGGCCGCACCAGCCCCCGGGAGGACGGGGACGCGCTTCATCCCGGGCCCGCCCGCACCCTGCCCGGCCCGGCGCGCGG